GGCGTTGAGAGACAGAAGTAAAGTGCGATGCTTCGCTGGCCGCAGGAGAACGTGAACCATCTGGCAAATCGTCGTAAGAGCTGGTGCGAGGGAGATTGGGATCACTCAAGTTGTTTGTGGAAAGAAAGTTGGGGTTCGGTGGCGCGAATCCACCTGGCATTAGTGATGTCGGCAGTGGTGGAGGCGCCTGTTGCTGCACGGGTTCGGCAAATCTAGGGTCTACATCTTCATAGTAGTCAGAGCTACGCTCTGGTCTGCTGACCGAGTCGACTGGAGCAAGTTGAGCATTCGCCATGACAGGCGAGTCCTGAATCGGGGAGAGTCCACGGCTGCTGTTGCTGTTATTCATGGTGCTGAGCGTCTGATCAGATGGCACTTTTTGCTGGTTCCATCCAGCCCGAGCTGGGACAAATCGCTGCTGCTGCTGCTCTTGCTGCTGTTGCGGAGGCGGTTGTCGTGGTTGCGCATCGCTATTTGATGTTAGAACAACAATCGCAAGACGCGTGGTGGAAAGTACTTACGATGTCGAGTATTCGCTGGTTGGGCTCATGATTTCGGGAGAACGTCTCTGGGGTGAACCAGCTGGGAAGGGGCCACCCTGTTGAAGAGCAAGCATGCCTGCAACATCACCGTCGCTCTCTCTCAGTCCGTAGTTGTTAGCGGGTGTGCCTGTGCGGTTATCCATTTCGATAGCTTGGCCAATGGGCATTTGCGGCATTGGTCCAGGTGGTGGGCCTCGACCATACGGCGATGGCTCGCGAGGTGGCGGTCCTTGACTGTAGAAGTTGTCGTTGTTGTATCCTGGAGGAGGGGCACCACGAGCCATTGGAGGGCCATTCGGAGGTCGTCCACCACGTCCATTGCCATTCCAGCCTGGAGGGGGAGGTCCCCGCATCGCTCCTCCTCTTGGGCCATATCCGCCTCTTGGACCATAGCCTCCTCCTCTTGGGCCTCCAAACTGTCCACCTCGTGGTGGTCCTCCTCTTCCCCTATATGGACCTCCCCTGCCGCGCGGGGCTCCGTTCATCATGGCAAAACCATCATTGGGCATAGGTGGCAGAGGGTTACCGTATTGGTCAACTGGTTGTCGGCGACCGATGGGACCGCCAGGCGGCGAGCCCATTGTGTCTGGGCCATTGCCGCCGGCACTACTGACAGTCTTGAGCGAAGGGTTGCGTTGGTTCAAAGGCACCATGTCGTCCGTGGGAGACACTTTTGAGGAATCAAAATAGGCTGTGCTGCCGTTTGTTTTGAGAGCAGACGACATTGTGTCGTTGTCAAGAGGGGGCGGAGATTCAGCCTTTGGATATTCAGTGGTCACTGTCGCGTTTGCGCGATTCGCATAGTAAGTGTTGCCGTTCATCTCGTCGTTTTCGGCAATGCGTCGCTTCCTCGCCTTCCGGCTAACCAACGTACGTCTCATGGCACATGTTACAATTCCGCTTGCGACAATGATAACGGTGGCACCTAGTACAATCCATCCTCCCCAACCCACGTGGGGAACGAACAACAAGATGTCGACGAGAAACGCGAGCAGTGTGACGAGTAGGGTTGGGAAAGTGAATATAAGCAGGGCAAGAAGGTAGCGCGGCGAGTGGGCAGGCGAATGGAAGTGGGCGGCGACTGAGAGGGCGAAGCAAATGAGTGTCATGAGGGCCGCGACGGGGTGGACAATGAGGATCGAGGATAGGGCGTGTCGCTGTGCAGAGGGTAGGGAAAAGTCAGAGGTCCGTTCACCTGCAAACAGTTTCTCTGTATTCGAGTAGTTAGTTTGTGTTGCACGCGTGCGCTTGTAGTGTAGCAGCACATACCGGTGTTGTACCCGATCATGGGCCCTTTACAGCCTGAATCGCCATTTTCGCAGTAGCCCAGGACGCCAAAATGAACACCACGGTAGGTAGCGAGCGGGATGCTCTTGATGAGGGGCGTCGAGAGGGTGGAGAGCAACAATAGCACGAATGCGACGAAGAATAGAATGGATAAAGGGGTGGCCGGACGCAACATGATGGCGACAAAGGGCAGCGTCGAGTACTACCGCAATGGGAATCCGGTCCGCCAGCGACCGGCTTTGGAGACTCGGCGATATAGGGTTGGGAGGGCGTGTGGGAGGGGCGTGTCTGCGCGACTATAGCGAATGCGCAGACGTCGTTGTTGGAGAGAGCAGTGGAAAACGAGCCTCAGCGCGGCTGTGTCCGAGGTGAAACGAGTGACGAGTGAGGATGCACGGGGGATGCCTGCAGTGTCATTGATGCCTCGACCCGGGAATGGCACGATGCAGGACAGCGACGCAATTGACACAGACAGCCGGCGGAAGATTGACGGTCGCTGGCTGTTTCGGTTGCGGGGAAGCGTGGGCGTGGGCGTGTTGGCGTAGACACGAGGGTGGAGGATAGTGGGCGGGAGGCTGGAGGGCCAAAAGAACAAGCAAGCTGTAAGCTGCAACGGTACAAGCGGGCGGGCGGGCAGCCAATAGCGCAAACGGCACCAGAGATGGATGCGAACGTTGGGGGCTTTGGCCGCTAGTCACCGATAAACCTGCTTGCGGCTGCTTGGAATGCGGGACGCTATCCAGCCGTCAAACCACCGCTGCGGACTCGATCGTGACGTGATGATGGGTTGGGAGTGGACGAGCGACAGGAACCAGGCACAGGAACCAGGCACAGGAAAATCAATTATTAGCAACTCGAGCCCGATGCGCTGAGATTGAACGCGACAGCCTCACATTGTGTGCGCGTTAACCCCCTGGATCTTCTCTCCGTCTCACAGCGCCAAACAGTGTGCTTCCCTGTTCATAGTGCCTGTTGTTCGGCGCAATATTCACCAGCATGCGTGCCCGTGCAGGCGTGCCATTTGCCATTTCCCCGACAAGTCCATCGTCTCATCTCGTCTAGCCTGCACGGCCCTCCCCAGAGTGATCGTCCAGGCACGCTCGGTGCTTCAAACACTGGGTTCTGCTGAAACGCGCAGAGCCTCCATAGCCTAGTCCTGAGGCAGAGCAGCTGGCCTCAATCCCTCTTCTGTCGTGTCTCGTCTGCTTCCGACACCTTCTCTCTCTCTACGCGCGCTTCCTGTTCATGCCAATGGGCTCTCCCCCCAAAGAGCGCGCAAACATAGCCCTGTCCGTCCCCTTATCTGCTACCGCCATGCACCCCAGTCTAGTCTTGACGGTACTAAGCCCCGGAAATATCATCTTTTCGGCGCCACCAACTCGTCTCTTGGTTCCGCGTCCCATTGGGTACATCCGTCGCAATGCCTTGTTTGCTTTTGCACTCCTCCAAAACCACACTTCGCACACGACACTGTCTCACAATCACAATGCTCCGCTCACAATTCATGCTCAATGTTTGAGCCGCAAGGCTCCTCAACTGTTTATTTTGTTTGATTCTCGGCCTCACTCATGGTATTCCTATGATAAGCAGATCCGCAAGATCCGCGTCAACCTCCCCACAAGGGGTCACGAACGCCTGGTTTTTTCGAGTTTCCGAGTCCTGCACCAATGCTCATGAATCCATGGGTACTTCATACGCTAACCTACTACTAAACACCCGCCCGTGTCACATTTAGTGACCAGCGAGGGCGTACGCACGGCGGCGGTCACGCTCCTCAGCGATCGAGAGCTTGACACCCTTGCCCTTTGGCAGAGAGATCCATGGCTTCTCCTTTCCGATGATACTGCTCGTTTGTTAGCACCTCAATTCTGCAATGTCACTGGAAAGAAACTTACATGACGTTGGACTCACGAGTGGTGAACTCGTTGTCAACAGCGTCCTTGATGTGGACAATGTTGAAGCCTCCGTCGTGGCGCTCACGGTGGGTGATGACACCAACACGGCCCATGTTACGACCACCAGTGACCATGACGATGACGCCAGTGTCGAACTTGATGAAGTCGGAGATCTTGCCAGTGGCGAGGTCGACCTTGACGGTATCGTTGACCTTGATAGCGGGGTCGGGGTAACGGATCCTACACATATATGTTTAGCAGTAATTCGGACATAGCCAGACCCTGGTCGTATGCCTGGTGAAAGAGGTTTCCCTTCAGTCACCTAGCCCAAACTGTGGTCCAACGGCTGATAGAGCGAGAACTTACGTTCGCGCATCGTGCGTAACCAAGTAGGGAATTCCGCCCTTGCCAAGCTGAACACGCTTGACCTTGCCGAGCTTGTATTGTGCCTCCTCGTCTGTTATCCTGTGGACGGTGAAGCGGCCCTTGGTGTCGTAGATCAGACGGAAGTTCTCGCCAGTCTTCTCAATGGAGATGACGTCCATCAATCCAGTGGGGAAGGTGCTGTCAGTGCGGACCTTGCCGTCGACCTTGACCAGACGCTGCATGAGGATGGCGTTGACCTCGCGGGCGTTGAGCGCATACTTGAGACGGTTGCGGAGGAAGATGACGAGGGGAAGGGAGTCGCGGAGCTTGTGAGGACCGGGCGAGGCCTTGGGGGCGTAGGCACCTGGGAATTGTCAATTTGATGCTCGCCATGTTGCTTTGCACCGCCGATTGCGGGCGTGCGGGAGTCGAGCGTACCGGACAGCTTGTCCAAGAGCCAGTGCGAGGGCGCGCTGAGGCGCTTCTGGTGCTTCACGGGTCCACGCGCCATTTTGACTGTTGTGTGAGGTTAGTCGTCGAGGTTGTCGGAAGTCCTGTCAGAGTACGAAATCGAGGTGGGAAGATTTGATCAAATTCCCACACTAGCGCCGTGTGCTAACCGAGCACTAGCGTCGCCGCCAAGACTAGCGCCTCGGTGTGGATCACCCTCACAAATAGATACTTGGAACGCCTAGTAAGATATATTCGAGTTGAAAAATGCAGCGATTGAAATTGAACCGTGCGAGAATGCTTTGCTTCCTTTAGTTTCACGGTCAGGTCAGCACAACTCTCAACGGACATTGCTGCTGAGCCCGTCACAACACGTCAGGGTATTCAAGTCCGATGAATTTTGACTTTGAAATTTTGATTCAACTTCAATGCTATCAACATGTTTTCTTTCTTGTCCACTTTAGGCATATCCCTTTAGTACAGCAGCCTCTGCGTTGAGGATGGACGAGCCTGCCGCTCCGATAACCGCTGCGAACAGTTAGTATCGTTTTCTATGTCTCCAGTATGGTATTCAACTTACTGTTGTGACTTAGTGCAACAAACTTGATATCGAAGATACCAGACTCGTCCTCGCGTATTCTTCCTACACTGACAGTGTATCCTCTGTCAGTCTCCCTATCTAATCTTGGCTGCGGCCTATCGGGCTCGTCCATGACTGCAATTGCCTTCTTAGGCGCAGAGGGGCAGCCCAGCTTTTGCGCGTCCGAGACATAGTCGCGCATTGCCTGCTTGACCTCCTCTGCGCTGGGTGGTGGGCGACGCTCGAAGCGTAGCGATACGCATGCAGTGTGTCCATCTAGGACTGGAACACGGTTGCATGCGGCGGAGATCTTCATGGGCTGGTCTACGAAACCAGTGACACCCTCATTGACGCTTCCAAGGATTTTGGAGGCTTCAGTCTCGAGCTTGTCTTCTTCACCCGAAATAAAGGGTACGACGTTGTCGATGATGTCCATGCTGCTGACGCCGGGGTAGCCAGCGCCTGAGACTGCCTGCATTGTAACGACTGACACTTGGTTAATAGGACCAAATTTATCTTGCAACGCAGCAAAAGGAATCACAATTCCAATGACAGCGCAGTTTGAGTTGCACACCAGAAAACCCTTTTCTAGCTTGTGGTGCTGCCTCTGGTGCTTGATCACGTCGAGATGTGGAAGGTTTACTGTGGGAACGACGAGTGGGACGAGAGGATCGCGGCGGTAGTTCTTTGCGTTGGAGAAGACGGCAAGTTCAGCCTTGAGGAAGGCCATCTCTACAGGAAATGTAAGCTCCAGCGCACGGGATTTGAAGTAGCGCACTTACCAACGTCTCCCGCAACATCGCTGTCAAGTCCAGAGAAGACTAGGTCGCAGTCCTTGAACTCTTCGGGTACGCATTTCTTCACTACCAATTCTCCAATGCGCTCTGAATACGGCAGTGCTTGCTTCCACTTGACCGCATCTTTGTACTTCTTGCCAGCCGATCGCTCCGAGGCTCCGACCGCGTGTAGCTCGAGATGTGGGTGGAGTGCGAGGAGAAGGATAAAGCGTTGGCCGACAGAGCCAGTTGCGCCGAGCACGCCTTTGATTGAGTCAGTCAATCAGTCATTCCTGTTGGGTGGCAAATGCTTACCGCACTTCTTCTTGGGGAATTCCTTCTTAGGAGACGTAAAATGTTCGGCGTCCATGGTTATGGTAGAATAGAATGTAAAATTATGAGATTGAGTCAATCGAGTTCCCAAAGTTTAAGTCGGGAAGTTATGACGCGCGGGGGTGGGGTGGAAAACGCGACCACCGATCGCGGAGGTCCCACGCTCGCCTTGTCAGCTATGGCAATTTAGGTCACTTTCCCCCAAATCTGCAGAGCGTAAACTTTTCATTACTAAGAACATTTTTAAAAACATCAATGGTCGAGATCTATGCATCCCCCCAGCAGATGCAGTGCAGATGGTCAGACATCCCTCCCAATGCATAATATCGGCTTTTGAACGAAAAAGAAAAGAAAAAAGAAGCAAAGTAGCGGCATTAGCTATGCCTGAGCGTCCATGATTTTACCCGGGTTCATGAGCCAGTAAGGGTCTAATGCACCTTTGATGCACCTCATCACGTTGATGGTATCAACACCAAGCTCTTTCTGGAGCGATGCCTTTTTTCCGAGTCCAATGCCATGCTCGCCGGTGCAAGTACCTTCCATCTCGAGCGCTCGGTCGACCATGTCGTGAACACACTTTTCAACGGCAGCTCGCTCTTTGGGGTCTTTGCTGTTGTACATGATGCTTTCGTGAAAGTTTCCGTCTCCGATGTGACCAAGGATGCTTGCAAAAAGGCCAAGATCGTCCATTTCCTTCTTGGAGATTTCTGTAGTAGTGTTAGGCAAGAATGGAAGAAAATATCTGAGCGAAATTGCTATTGCAGGGTCATACCTATAATGTCTGGGAGCCGGGAAATGGGGACTGCGACATCTGTTGACCAAACCTCGTCACCTTCGCGACGGAGTGCCATCATGCTCCAAAGCGACTCTTTGCGAGCCGACCAAAGAGTTTTCTGCTCCTCGGCATCTGTGGCAAATTCAAAATCACCACTCTTATTGGCTTTTGCGATAGCCTTGACCAGCTCAATGTTCTCCTGTACCTAGTATGCAGTTAGTTACGTTCTGGGTAAATGCGCGGCTGTAGGGCTGAATATACCCCTGCTTTTGTTCCCGAGAACCTGTTTGCAGCTGTTAGCTCTGGCTTCACAAGATCTAATCTATCTGGGAAACCTACTTGAAGAACATGGTCGGCAATTCCTTCCATTTTTTTGCCGTCGCACCCGCTTTGTTGATGACGCCCATTTGCACGTCATCCATGATCTCCATGGCGGCTACAGGGACCCCGGCCCGCAGCACTTTAGAGGCTGCAGCTGCAGCATCGCGTATTGTAGGAAAGGTCACAACTGCAACGCTCGTCTCTTGGGGTATGACAGCTAGCTTGAGGGTCACTTCTGTGACGATGCCGAGGGTACCTTCGGACCCAATAAAGAGGTTTGTCAAGTTGTAGCCAGCAGACGATTTTCTAGAAAGCCATCAGTGATGCTGTGAAGCAAATACGTGGGAATATGCATACCGGGGCCGCTGTCTGGTTTTGATGACCGTGCCGTCAGCCAGTACGACGGTCAGGTTGATGACCCAATCCTTCATGGTTCCGTATCGCACGGCGTTAGTTCCGCTGCGATGATTAGTTGCAATATCCGTGCAGCGTAGATAACCGCACCCACCTGCAGCTGGTGCCTACCATGCCTCCAATTCGGGCCTGACACGTTTGTCAATAAAAGTTGGGTGGCTATGTGGTGCACAGTCAGGTGACAGGTGTATGCATACCGATGGGCCGGGATCAACAGGGAAAAAAAGACCAGACTCTTTGATCTGATCGTTGAGACTCATCCAGGGCACAGAAGGCTGGACGACAACGTCCATGCTACAGGTTTAGTCAGCAGTGCCCTCGCTCTAGGTGCTAGGCATTGCCGACTCACTCATCCTCGTGCAAGGCAATGATTCGATCCATAAAGGCAAAGTCGATGCTCATGCCACCAAAGGGAGCCGAGAAGTTTGCCTCCAAGCTTGATCCGCCAGAGTAGGGAACTTTGCGGTATTAGTAGGGAGGGTTGGAAAAGGCATGGCGTGCGTACTCATTGGTATCCTGTACTTGAAGCAGATTTTGGCAATGGCGGAGCACTCTTCAGTCGACTTTGGGTATGCCACGGCGACCGGGAGCTGGTCAATGTTGATGGAGGACCATTCCGAGTAGCCGTGTCTGTGTAAATCTTCATCGTCGGTGCTGATTACTTCCTCTCCCAGCAGTTCCCTCAGCTCGGTGATGGCCTGGAGTGTTGAGCATGGATGACGTGCAAACGTATGGTCTCTGATAAACACACCTTTTCCATCTCGTGCTTGTTTGCATACTGAGGACCGGTGGACTTGAGCCATGGCATTTGGATGCGGTGAGGTTCGTCATTGGCGCCGTAAAAGTAGGTGGTTGTGCCAGTGACGGCAGAGAAGAGCAAGGCTCGCCCAGAGTTCCAGAAGGGTCGTTGGTTGGCGTGGGATGTGAAGGTTCGGTCGGCTCCGCTTCGTGCCCGAGTGCCTGCTCGCCTCAGCAAAGGCGAGACTGTGTGCCTGACTCGCGCTGCTGCTTGCCAGAACATGGTTAAAAAAAAGAGAGAGGCGAGGAGAGAAATAGGAAAGTAAGAAAAAAAGAAGAAGAAAGAAAGAAAGAAAGAAAGAAAGAAGAAGTTAGTCTACCTGGCCAGACTACAGGTCGAGGCAGGCTTCAGTGACGGAGACTATGGGCCCATGCGCGATTTGCGAGCTAGAGGAATGGATGGCAGCACTAAGCATTTTATGGGGCTCACGGGTAGAGGACAAGGACAGCAAAAGCGGAAAGAAGATGATTCAAGGTACAGGCATAGGGCGCCATTGTTGTTTTGGGCAAGGCTTTGGGCGTCATGGGCCAGCGCACGGGCAAGGCCGCAAGACCACATAGTGTGGTTGATGGAGGAGAAGAGGCATGGGGCGCGTGGGAGGCTGACTGGGTTACCGATGTGCAGCAGCAAATGAAGCCGGCTGAGCGTGATCAGCTGCAAGGGGGCTTGGAAGCCGGCGAGGCAATTGCGGGGAAGGCCAGGGCGGCAACGGCAGACAGAGGCGGTGGTATGCTATGGATATGCAGCGTGGCGACTGATGGTGGATGACAGTCAAGGCGTCGTCAGTCGCGTGACGAGGCGCCGGCTAGGGTCGCAAGCAAATGCAGATGGAACAGGGCCGAGTTTTTGCTTTTGTTTTTTTCCAATTCCAGAGAGGGATGTAATATGGATTCAAGGGCCAGCTGGCAGGAGAGATGTGTGTGCGTGTGTATGTGCCTGGAAGCGTGGCGGCCGGCACATGGATACACAGACATGGCATATGTGAGGCTCAGCAGCAGCAACAACCGTCGGGATGGGAAGCAAAAGGCCCCGGGGGATCTGGATGGCGAGCAAGAGGGCGTGGATAGCGTGGATTGGACGGCCGTCATCCAATTACCTCAGCAGTGGGGGCCGTTTGCATCCACAGCGACATGCCACGCCGCCGTCAAGAGCCGCTCCAGTCGGCCTTTGCTTGTCGGCCATGGCCATCCATCCATGCACAAGGGGCGGTTTCCGACAAGAAAAGACACGACAAGACAGACGTCGATGGCGCATCCAAGCAGCCGTGACGCAACGGCATCACCCACCGTCAATCAGGCGTCCAGGCACTGCCAGAAAAAGCAAACAAGCATGCGGTGCGGGCGGCTGTGCAAGGCGGGGGGAATGCTCGCGGCCCATGTCTGGACATACTACACTGCATACTACATGCGTATAGTGTATGTACACACGACTATACGACTGCGACTACAGCGCACAAAGATTGGCTGGCGCGGTTGTCGGAGGAACGCGAGAGCGCCAAACAAGATCGCTAAAGTATAGTAGGCGATCCGACGCGCTGCACACTTTGCATGGGAACCAGAACAACCCACGACTACTACTACTACTACTCCTCCTACGTACATTAGTTGCAACCTTAAAGCCGAGGCCAGCCATGGCAAACGGGGCCCCCACGGCAGACTTGGGCGCACAGCTCAATGCGGAACTGACGAGGATCATCAAATGTCCATATCCTCCCTCGCTGTCTGTAAGTCGTGTATTAGTATTGCCGTATTGCACCATCAACCACATGACTCGTCACTTCTGCATCCTACCGTGCTTGATTGATTGATTGTCTGACCAACATCTCACACACAGCCTCTGTCCCACCTACTCGCGCATGCCGACCTACCCACCATCCGCACCTCTATCCATCACCGTTCCCCATGCGCCCTGACCGCCCTGGCCAAAATCGTCCGCGATGCCTTGCCGCTGGCGGCTTACACGCTGCGTGTCCTGCATCGTCTGTGTAAGCTTTTGACCGCTTCTTGTTACCACACCGGCTGACTGCCTCCCCCTATGCAGGCTACGCACCCGAGTTCCGTCGCCAGCTATTGATTACCTACCCGGGCCTGCTAAACGGTCTATTGGAGAGGGCCGTTTCCTCCAAGCAAGACTTCAACGACGTAAGTAGTACACGCTTTGCCACCATCCCCTCACCCTAACCCAGCACCAGCTCGGAGAACTATGTGTGCTACTTCTGTCGTACCCTTTGCCAGACGCAATTCCCTTGCCTGCGGCCGCACAGAGCTTTCTGCTCCACGTCTTTGAAAAGGCTTCACAGAACCCCAGTTCCGATGCCTTGAAGTCGGTATACCGCATGCTCAATGGAGCATGTGCTCAGCTCCACCGTCTCCTTCCTAGTGCTGCTAGACGGCGCTTCGATACCGAGCTTTGCCGCATCTTGCAAAACAATGTATCTGGCGAGTCTGCCATGCTGCTGTTATGGCTGTGTGGCATAGTCATTATCGTCGAGCGTCCAGAAGGCATCCAGTCTGCCCACGCTTCCGACACAAGTCATGAGCCCGTCTCTACCCAGAAGCTAATGCAGCAATGGGTAACACCATCCGGCCAAAAACTATTTGGCTCTACCAAAGACTTGTACAAGAATATACAAATGACGTGCTTGAATATCTTGTGGCTCCTCAAAGCCCCCGTCGACGATGACGAAGTAATTGAAGGCTTGCGTATTGCCTCTAGAATCATGCAATGCATCGACATAGACATCAGAGATAGTTGGATCAAGCTTGAGAAAGGGGCACTGCTTTTTGATAAATGCCGATCAAGGATAGAAGAGTCGGCTTCTATTCCGACCATCCAGTTAGAGGCCCTGTCCTTCTTTGGTCAGCTTTCCGGCTCAAGGAAACTGCCCCAAAGTATAGTGACGCGGTATACAACACGTATCTTTGATGCTGTATGTGCAGCGGAGCCAGCCGGCCTTTCTGAATTGCTATCAGTATCACTTCCTAGATTCGGAGTAAGCACATCGGAAACCATTGTGAACCACTCAGCTGATTGAGACAGGCGTATATTCCAGATATCCAGGCACTGTTTTCACTTGTCATAGATACTTGTGCTACACAACCAAGCCCCAGGCACATGTCTAATCTTGTCGATTTTGTAGATGAGCTCACCACTGCTACCCTGTCTTCTTCCGTATTACGGGGCAATGCACTCCGCGGTTTGTCGTCAAAGACAATTCAAGATAAGATCTGGCGTCTTGTGCGGCTCGACCCAAATCGTAAAGCCGCCTGTACCCATATGGCATCGTACTATCGGCAGCTCATCGCTGCTGTCCTTGCTTCCCTGATCACCGTCATTCTCGCTGCCGAGCCAGGAGAGCCGACATTACCTCATACTCTTACAATGGCCCTTGTCAAGGCACAACGGGACCTGCCACTTGTAGCGGGCACCTGCCCATATGTTTCTGAGATGCCAAAGAATACACCCTTATCACTCTTCCAAGCTGCAAACACACAAATCACTGGTCAGCATTTGGAAGACTGGAGTACACGCCTTGACTCAGAACTACAGAGCCAGGGAAAGTACCAGAGAGACGCCATCTTACGTTCAGTAGCACAAATTTGCACTGACCTTGAAACGCGCTGCAACACGGTCGAAAAACCGCTACGTAGGGAGAAGGAAAAATCAACCGAACTCGAGGAGCAAATCTGCTCCCTGAGTGATAAAGTTGAGTCATTACGAATACAAAATGAAGACTCTGTCGATCAGCTAGAAGGCTTAGAAAAGGAGCTGGAAGATCTGAGAGAAGACCAAGGCCGCCTACAGGACGAGAAGGCTGCTATTACCCAAGAAAAGGTGCAAGCGCAGTCCAAGGCCAAAGAATTGGAGACACTCCTTGAAGAGTCAAGGTCGAACGCGAATGAGGCGCTCAAGGCTGCTCAGGAGAGTTTTAGCGCAAAGGAGCTCGCGCTACAATCAAGTATTCTTCAGCATGAAGAAGATAAGCGTGTCCATGATTCGCAGATACAGCAGCTGAACGATACCATCAGTGAGTTAAGGCACTCCAGAGTTCAACGAGAGAAGGACCACAATACACTTGCCAAGGAATATGAGAATCTACAACGTCGCTGTCAGGATGTGGAGGAAACACTTCAACATGAAAGGTCAAACGCTGCTAACCAGAACGACGGCGTTGCACGTCTTGAGACACGAGTATCGGAATACCGCCGCCTTCTGGAAGAGAAGGAAGTAGAGTTGGAAGAAGCCTTGAAAAATTTGGATGCATTGCAAAGCATGCACCGAGAGTTACAAGAGACGTCGGAAGCCAGGCTCAAGGACCTAGCAGCTCAGCATACCGACGATATCGAGGCACTCAATGAGAAGGCTGAAGATGTTTGTAAGGCTCTTGAAGATCAACTACAAAATGCTTTGGAGGATTACCAGCAAGAAGAGCATGATCACGAAAAATCGCGTCAACAGATTGAGCAACTCCAAGAAATCATTCCACACCTAGAGTCTAGAATCCAAGAGCTCGAAGAATTTTGCAAAGAACAAGAAGATGAGCTCGAGGAGCGCAGAGCCATCCACAAGAACGTCTTGGCACATTTTGGTGTCTCATCCCAACAACCACTCACCATTCGCTCCGCGTCTCGATCCTACAAGGACGTTGCCGCAACCACGACTACACGCGCGCCGCGAACTCAACGGCGACGCAAATCCGCCTTTATTGTACCCGAGGATATCACGCCAATGACAGACTCGACTACAGAAGATACTGTCGAGGCGTCTTTTGAGTCATCTTCGAAAGCCAATATCCCAGCACCCAAACGCCTGAAACCACGAACGGCTTTCAAAGTTCCCACCATGCTCACGCCGTACGCTCAGAAGCCCAATTCAGTCTCTAAACCCGCCTCGGGCAAAACATCGCCCAGTACGCGTTCAGCGCTGCGACAAATGTCGCCGAACCGGCGGCATACAGTTGGGCCTTCAACGGCTGAGCAAGTGGATAATGATACCACTGACGCGAGTGCGTTGGTGGAGAAGCAGGGAGGAAGTCTCCAGGATATCGAGTATACAGACTTTGATACTGATGAAGATTTTCTCTCTGACACGCCACTTACGCCAGGATTCATGGCAGGAACAGGGAGAATTCCTAATGAAGACGAGACGAATACGAGTGAGCTGTGAGAAATGCAAGACAAGAAAAGAATCCGGGGGCCTATTGGACGGACTACATAAAAATCAGGCCCATCTACACCGACGTCATATTACTAGACTCCAAGAAAATGATACTCCTCAATGAAATCACTACCCATGTATTACCAGTCCTCCCCTCCCCCTCATTTCCAAAAACAAACCAAGTGAACCCATCAACACCCGCCACCATCCGCCCAACGCAACCCTCACGCTCCCTCTATACGAACTACCCCCCACGCGCGCGCAAAACCCCCAACCCCCCCACGCCTACCACCGGAATATCCAAAACGAACAACCCCGAATCATACCGCAGCAAAACTAACTCCACGCGTGTCCTAGCACCCAAAACTAGCAGGGGTCCCCCCCCCCCCCGCACGACGTTACTTGCTAAACCCGGCACACCTAATTGGTCCGACTTGCACGGTATTCCTGTTTCGCAGGCACTCGGTAGACTTGCTGGTGTGATGAGTGTTGTTTGTAGAGGAAGTCGAGTGTGCGTGAAATGGAGCAAAGACGATATAGATAATTTCTGCTGCGTATGGTATGTGTGTGTGTGTGGACGGGAAGGAAAGGAAAAGGTAAGTAAAGCAAGTTCCGGTTGGTGACTTGGAGGGGAGGGGGGGGGGAACCGACTGAGCTTAGATAAGTGAGGGGAAGCATAGATAGGTAAATAGATGGTAGATATGACTCCAAAATCTGGCATGCGAACATCTTTCCATGCGAAGAACGTAGGCTGTAGATATTTCGCATTCATAATCACAGTTTCCACATTTGTTTACTTGTCGGTCGTTTGGATTGCTCTTGATTGTCCTGCGGATAGTACGTTAGAAGAGAAGAAGTAATGGCGGTCGATACGGACGTTCTGATTATAGGCGCGGGAATGAGCGGGCTTGGGCTCGCTGTGCAACTCATCCGGATGTATAATCTTCGTTCTTTTGAGATTGTGGAGAAGAGCGGGGATGTGGGTGGGACGTGGAATGTGAATACGTATCCTGGGTGTGGGTGTGATGTGAGTTTCTTTCCTTACCCTCCCCTCTCTTGCTATAAACCCCCTCCGCCCTTGTTCGCTATTCAAACCCTGATGGAGGGTTTTTTTTGCAGAGACAGGTATGAAAGGAAAGAGGAGAAAGAGAGAAGTTGATGGGATAGTTAGGTCGCTTCACACTTTTACTCGTATAGCTTCGCACTGAATCCAGACTGGAGCCGCAAGTACTCGCACCAAGGCGAGATCCAGGCGTATTTCCGGGGCGTGGCAGAGCAGTATCGGGTCCTTGAGCATATAAGGTTTCACTCCACTGTAGAGAAAGCGGTATGGAATGAGGAGGATAAGATCTGGGAAGTCGAGGTTTTGGATCTGGAAACGAAGGAGAAGAGCGTCCGGAGGGCGAAGATTCTAGTGTCGGGCGTGGGAGCCCTGTCTGTGCCCAAGGAATGCGACATCCCAGGTGCAGAAACGTACAAAGGACGGTTATTCCATTCTGCAAGGTGGGATCATGAGTTTGATTGGGGTGGAAAAGACGTTGTTGTTCTCGGTACCCTCTCCCCCATCTCCTTCATCACAACCCCGAAAACCATATGAACGAGACTAACAAACACCCCTCAAGGAAACGGCTGCTCCGCCACCCAATTCGTCCCCATCCTCTCCAACCCCCCCAACGCAACCCGCACCCTCACCCAATTCAGCCGCCGCGCTCAATTCCTCTCGCAGCGCGAAAACCCCGTCTACTCCTCCACCTTCAAAGCCATCATGCGCCACGTCCCCCTCGCCATGCGCCTCTACCGCCTGAAATTCTACGTCGATATGGAACGCGACTACCGCGGTTTCTCCATCGACTCCGGCCGCGCCATCCGCCAGGCCCTCGCTAGCGAAAACGAAGCGTATGTCAAGAGCGTGTCGCCCCCACGGTACTGGGATGCGCTTATCCCGAACACGGAAGTCGGGTGTAAGAGAAAGGTGCTGGATACGGACTACCTGAAGACGCTGTGGCGGGAGAATGTCGAGTTGGTGTTTGATGATGCTGTGGAAAGGATTACGGAAACGGGGGTTGTGACGAGGGGAGGGAGAGAGGTTAGGGCGGATGCGATTGTTTTGGCGACGGGGTTTGAGACGGTGCAGATGTTGGTGCCGATGGAGATTGTGGGGAGGAATGGGGTGGAGTTGAGGGAGTATGTAAGTTGACCTCTTCTGCTATTATCCCCCGGGTTTTTACTGGAGAAAGGAGTGGGTGATTGATAACTTGGGCAGTGGGATAAAAACTTCCGCGGCGTCGCACAAGCGTACTTTGGCACTGTTGTGCCGCACTTTCCTAACTTCTTCATACTGGTAAGTAAGAGAAATACGTGTCCGAAAACGCGGGTGAGACATATACACTGACTTCACATCTTACGAATCGGTTCAGATGGGTCCGAATACAGTTACCGGTCATCTCAGTGTTATATACAGCACCGAGTGCCAGATCAATTTCATGTTACGCCTTCTCGATCCCATCATCAAATCACTGCCGTCGTACCAGTCACAGTCATTGCTCCCGAGCTTCTTCACCGCGGCGCCAGCAACCGTCGAAGTCAAGTCTGAAGCCGCGGCCGCAGATTCCCAATGGACACAAGCCGAAGCAAAGAAGCTAGTCTGGGCAACTGGATGTGTGAATTGGGCTGTTGATCGTAAGACGGGACTTAACCATAGTAAGTATATATGATCTTCTCTTCGCAAATCTACATGCTTTGAAAAAGAGTAGGAAACTAACGACATGCGTAGTGATGTATCCAGACTGGCAATTCATGTTCTGGCTCCGAAGCATCTTCTGGAAGAAAACCGATTTCGTGTATCTGGATGAGAAAACAGGCAAAGAAGTTCATCCGCACGCGCGCAAGACGGTACTGCGGCTCATCACTATTGCGGCATTTGCTAGCGGCACTTTTCTCGGCCGACACTGGATACGAGATTTGCTGCCTCGCAGGCCGCACGACTTCAACCCACTGGCATGGTTTCAGAGTCTAAAAGCGTAGATTATCGTTTGGGAACACCCCAACTCCCGTTCTCTACATGACAACACTTCCGCTCCGACAAACGGGCCTGGATTTGCATGTGCTGGGCACCCGCTATCAGCCTAGACATGCATGCAGCATAGGCAACATACATACATTAATTGAATTCATCCTAAAGCAGCGGCAGCGAAGGTTGAAGGTATCCGTGGACTTACTGGAGTAGAAACTCGCAGCTGGGATGCTGCCCACTCTCTACACTCCCTTTCAAATATGCAATAAACAAAAAAAAACCAAACCAAACTAATCAAGTACACCCCCATGTACAGTATTACCTTACGTTACACGTCCCGAGACTATACATGTTTATGATTTGTGGATTACACATGTCTATTTTTAACTCATTCATTGAGTAGCAAGTTTAATCTTTATCCACCGTCTTTTCGACTTTTAATCTTTAGAGTGATTTAAATACACGGACTCCCAAACCGCACCTTGTTTATGAATTTCATACCATATCAACTCCACAGATCTATCTTAGTAATTATATTTACGTTATTCTTTATCTCCATCACCATGATGTATAACATACATACATTTGTCCTACTTCCTCATCGCTTCCACAAGCTTCTTAGGAGTTTGTAAGTCTAGTTTTTTTTTTCAATTCTCCAATCATGTAGACGTGAAAGTGCTAATTGGCAGGATAGTGAGCAATGGATTTGGGCGGCGATAGCCATTCTATCCTGGTTGCCGAGCTCGCCTCCAAAAAACTAGACATGTCGAGTCTGATGAATTTGTAGTCATCGAAGGCGAAGGGTAATAATGGCACTTTTTAGCTCTTATGATGCCGAATTATATGTTGACCAGTTTTTTTATTTAGGAAGAGCATAGCATATTGTTTTTTTTTTGAAATCATCCCTCGGTGCACCACCACCTGAAACTTTTACAAGCCGAAGCGCGGAGCAAACACGACGATGACGCTCTGGAAACACCACATGCTCAACAAGCGAAGGGTTGAAAACCTTCCGAAATCTCTTCTGGCCTCAGCGAATCCCCGGGTGCGCCTATCTTCAAGAGTCATCCGAAATGCATATCACACGGCCTATTCCAGGTCTACTGCGCCGGTTGCTTCGTACCAATTTACAACGAGCGCAGGGATCATCAGAAGATTGCAAAAAGATTCATGTCCGAGACTCCACACACACACACACGTTTCGAAGTTCCGAGTGTCAATTTTTGGGGGCGAGACCATCACGGAGGCCGTGTGCATCCCCGTTCGGACAGACACGGACCGTGGGCAGTCAACACCGCAGGCCCACGACGACACAAAGGTGCTGCTCGGGTGGGCTGGTGAAATTCATCAGGCCGAAATGTCAATATTGAAGCAACGGCGGGGTCAATGCTCTGACAACAAAAGGGCGATTATGGGGTTCAGGCGGAGAGGTTGGACATTGTGCTTAATGGAAACCCGACTATAGATAGCCAAAATAATACTTTTGGTTTCACGGCAAGGTTTAATCCTAGGCCGCGATCATCTGTTCAAGGCTGTGTTACTACTCGAGGAAAGCTAGACCAGAATGTTCTAGGTCTATTTGAAATAGCTTTTCTTAGTTAGGGTTAGAGTTAAGACTATGAGAGGTTAGAATAGTACTCAGTGTCGTTTGAAGAAGGGGGAGATAGTCACACAAGCGAATCATGTCTTGTTTACTCAAGCATACAAGTATTAGGATGGATCAAAGCACGCATTGACACAAAAACCATGAGAGAGGAAAAATGCGTTAGATGTATATGAACAACACTCATCAACAAAAAAAAGGGTCATGACCTAAACGCCATGTATGCAAAGATACCTCCCATCCATGTGCTTCTAGACGACCGGAATGACAATACATGGAACACAGTGCAATAAAAGAGTCTCACAAGACCCCTTCCTAGACCCTACTATCTCTTCTCCACGAGCAACAAATGCATGGCCATGTAGGCCAGCAGGACGAATACACCACCAAACACACCCAATCCGATACAGTCGGTCCACAGCGCTTGCGTGTTGAAACCAAACGAGCTGAGGATAGCTGAACCAGGGACTTCAATGTCGAGACCATACTTGTGGTCGATAAGAGACAAGTATTTGACTTCGTTGACAATAAGACCTTCAAAGGCGTAATGGAAGATTGACAACTGTAAGTTGTTAGTACATATAACCTTAATAACCCAGTGGATGAGACTTACAGATTGCAGCCATTTGGCTACACCAGGAATACTATCCTTGTTCAAGAAGAAGCCAGAGAACAAGAGACTGAAGAGCATGACAAGCACGCCGATCAAGTTCGCGACTCCAGAGTTGCGGAACACGATACCGATGAAAAGGAAAATGGCCGCAGCAGCGAGGTTGAAGAGAACAAGGAAAAGCGTAAACTTGAGGAAGTTGGGCCAGGCAGGAATGAGGCCCGTCATTGGGTAAACGATGATGCCAAGGATAATGGGTGGCAATAGGCGAAGTGGGATAATGTCGAAGATGACCTTGGAAGCAAAGTATGCTGGCGGGGAGTAGTAGCCCTTGGCACGCTCACGGGTAAAGAGTAGCCTCTCAGGCGCAAAGACGGTGAGAATGGTCAAGCTGCTGAAACCGAAGAGAGAGAGAACGAACAGGAACAGACCGAGACGGTTCTGGAATCCCTTGATGTCGTCCGTGAGGCCATAGAAGAGGAATCCGAGGAATACGGCCAGGACAATGGCGATGGCGTAATGGGTAAGCATGAGCATCGGGTTGCGGTAGAGATTACGCCATGTGCGTCGAGACAAGATTCTGAACTGGCCAAAGAAGCCTACCTTCTTGAACCCCTTGAGCTTGCCTGCTGCAATAAATCCATTGACCTCTTGATTTCCATTCGTACCGTTGGCTTGATTGGCGCTTGCGACTGAAGTAGCAATGTCTTCGCGAATTCTGGCGGCGACCTCGGAGGAGGAGTAGGCGTTGATAAGAAGATCCAAGTTGGTTCCAGTTGCGCCGTTAGCAGGAGGTGGGAGCTCATCTGGATCTTCGAGAATCTGAGGAGGTACACCACCCTGTTGACGAGTAAGTTTCAGCCATTGAGCTTTGATAGCGCCTCGACGATCATAGGGTTCTTCGTCCGTCTTGGGTGACATGGTGCCATCGTTGGCGGTAGTAGTAGAAGTCTTCTTGCGTGTGAATAGCTCGCGTTCCTGCTGCTGCTTGATAGATGTCCTGCGCTTGCCCTTGGGTCGCATCATACTAGAGTTGCTGGGACTTCCAGCAAGTTCTCGCTCAAGCTCAGAGGTATTGATGCTAGGAATAGACTTGACGGCGATTGCACTGCTTGCGCTGGTGGTGAGTCCATCGCGGTTGAGATCACGGTTGAAGAGAGAACTGTCCTCGTCGATGGGCTGACGTGCTGTACTTGCGTGCATGGTAAGATCGACAATGTAATCAGCGATATTGAAACCAGGTGGGCAAGCGTAACCGAGCTCGTCAAAGTAGGACTGGCAGTTCTCAAAAGGCCCAGAGTAGACAGTGCGGCCCTTTGCAAGCAGAATCAGCTGATCAAAAAGGGCGACAATGTTGGAGCGTGGCTGATGAATAGTGAATACGACCGTTCGGTTGTAGTTTTTGACCAAATTGACGAGACACTCGACGACGTTGAAAGCGTTGAAAGCATCCAGGCCACTGGTTGGTTCATCGAGGAAGAGGATGCTGGGTGACGTGACAAGCTCACAGGCAATACCGACACGACGCTTTTCTCCGCCAGAAATGCCACGACCACTCTCTTCTGAGCCAATCTTCTGGTGACGAATGTGGTAGATACCAAGTTGGCGTTCTACATCTTCAACCCTCTGCTGTTTTGAGATAAGGCTCATTTCCTTTGGCAGGCGCAGTAAAGCCGAGTCAAGAATAGTCTCGTGGACAGTCAGGGTAGGCAGCAGGGTATCCTCCTGGTCGACAAAGCCGATAACGCTTCGGAACTCGTCGTCGCGAACCTTTTCTCCGTTGATGTAAAAGTCGCCGCTGTCGACACCGATTTTGCTCTTACGGGCGAGGATATCCAAGAAAGTGGTCTTTCCAGCACCAGAAGCGCCCATGATGGCGAGAAGTTCTCCAGGATGAACCGCTCCAGAAATTCCAGAGAGAATTTGCCTGCCATTGAGATTATATGCCACGTTTTCGAAGAGGAAAGAGGCTGGCTTGTGGTCGGCTAGCAGTTTCGCGTCCTCATCTTCCTCATCGTCTGACAGGTGAATGGGACCATAACGCTGCGCCTCGGCACGGTGGGTGAGGTACCAAATAACCAGGATAGCTGCGACTATGAAGAGCGCACAGCCAGCAATAACACCCGCAATGAGAGGCGTATTGATCTTCTTGATGGGCCTTTCGTAACCGGGTACTTCAGTCTGGTACAGACACTCGCCAGTGTCGCATTGTAGGAAGATGCTTTCATCGCCAAAGATGCTCGAGATGAGATCATTCATGGCGGGCTCGGAAAAGACGCTACCACTCTCTTTCTTGTTAACGGCTGAGATGCCCCTAAACTCTGCAGGACCCTTGATCGACTCCCTCAAGAAGTCGCCAATGTCCACAGAGCCATCTTCTCCGCAGAGCATCCTGTCGGGGATACACTCGCACTTGATGTTCTCGCATCGGTACTTTGTGATGTTACGATCGGCTTCGGCGGTGAAGTGGGAGGCGCACGTGTCGAGGGCGCAGTAGAAGGATTCCCTCTGATCAACCCAGACTGCAAAGGTCAGCAAGATGGCGAGAGGGTGAGTACAGGTGTAAGCAAAACTTACACTGAAAGTTACACTCTTCGGCTTCGGCGTTGCAAGAAAAGGTGGCCTGAGGCTTCTTCTCTTTCAAGGTGTCGAGAATCTTTCTGTTGGTAATGTCACAGATCTGGAAGTTTTCCTTGACCAATTGGCCGTCCTTGTAGCAGACTCCGCCTTCGCCATCGGGCATCATGGCGTTACAAGCATCGTTGGTTTGGCAGACGTTGCAGTTGATGCCAGACCAGCCTTCTGAGCATTCGCATTCCTTTGCGCCTCCTCTGGGCGAACGGTCCTTGCCATCAGGCAGGGCACCGCAGAGGGGCTCTGAACAGTCCTCGCCGCCGAATCCAGGACCGCAGTTGCATCTGCCGTTGGCCTTGCTACAGTCGGCAAACTGCTTGCACTTGAAGTCCTCGAGGTTGCAGTTGAAGCATGGGGGGCAACCATCAGGCCTATCGCCATAGATGGAGAAGAGCGACTGTGGCGACTCGGCGAGGGAGTAGTTGGCAAATGTCTTGTGAGCGGTAGATGAGGATGTCATGCCCAGCACAACAGCTGCGGTGGCGGCGAGCGACGTTGCCCAGCTTCGTTGGCGCATCGTGTGTTTGTGTGTATGCGGCGCAGAGCCAGCGATAGCAGGCAGCTGCGATCGGACCGACGCGTCGCCGTGATAGATGCGCGACAGCAGTGATAGCAACTGGCTGTCGAAGATGGAAAAGCAGCGCCTGTCAAAGGAGCGGCGAGGGAGCTGGACAAGCTCGTGTGATAACGACGAGGGACAAGACACGGCCACGGAGCTAGGACTGTGATGGTGACCAACACAAGGCGGGTTGCTATCATGGCGATTGCGCCACGATGATTCGCCGACGAGGCTGGGCCTGATCCAGCCAAGCATGCATACGGACCGTCCGACCGAGGCACACGCCGCTCCCAGTCCCTGGCGCCCGCGTCATCGACTTGTTGCTGCCAACATGCAAAAGACGACCCCGGTGCCTGTGCGGGACCATCACTTACTGCTGTTCCATGCTACCGTGTTTAGACTATTCGTGTCCATCTGCCAGGGCAAGCCCATCATCCCTAGTCTAGTCGCCGTTGGAGCGAGCCATGTGGCAAGAAAATGTCCGCTCGTCACGCCCTGCGAACTACATAGTAGACCCGCTCGAATGGAACCACCCGGACAACTATTTGAGCGCCTAGTGCCAAACGTCCGAGTAGACTCCTGGAGCATCGTTACCAAGTGTTCTTTCTGTCCATAGTCAATCATCTCATCGCATCCAGCACAACATGGTCAAAATCGACAAGTTCGCAGTCGAGTCCGTAAGTCGTTCCCCGCATTTCTGCCATTTGATGCGGGGCGAAGCTAACCACTAAAAGTGGATGGACGCATATGAGACAAAATGCAAGTACAACATTGCCGAGACATGCTGTGCGTCAATCTCCGTCGACCAGCTACGCGACCTGTCAGAAGATAAGGACAGGCAAGTGTTCGATACTTCGCGCGTCCTCAACTATGGCGCCATTAGAGGAAGCGAAAACCTGCGGAACAACCTTGCCCGACTCTACTCTGTAAAAGTTGCAACACCACTCCCAGCTGAAAACATCCTCACCACCGCCGGCGCCATCCAGGCAAACTACCTGACTGCATACACTCTTGTAGGACCTGGCGACCATGTCATCTGTCACTACCCCACCTACCAATCTCTCTATGATGTGCCCAAGCAACTAGGTGCCGAAGTCGACCTCTGGAAGGCCAAACCAGAAAACAACTGGATACCATCAATCGAAGACCTGAAAGCCCTCATCAAGCCAAACACCAAGCTCATCATCATCAACAACCCCAACAACCCCACCGGCGCAGTTCTCGGCAAGACCTTTCTTCAAGATGTAGTCGCCATTGCCTCGGAGAAGAACATCACCATCATGGGCGACGAGGTATACCGTCCCCTCTTCCACTCCATCGGGCCCCTGGATAAAGAATTCCCGCCCTCCCTCCTCTCCATGGGCTACAGCAACGTTGTCGTCACGGGCTCCATGTCCAAAGCTTACTCGCTCGCCGGCATCCGCGTCGGATGGATCGCATCACGCAGCTCAGACCTGATTGAGAAGATTGCAGACGCACGCCACTACACCACAATCTCCGTGTCCTACTTTGACGAGCAAGTCGCAGCCTATGCTTTACACTCGTCGACTATACACAGTCTGCTTGCGCGTAATATCCAGCTTGCAAAGACCAATCTGGCGCTGTTGGAGAAGTTTGTGATTAAGAATGAGGATGAGTGTGAGTGGGTTAAGCCCGTGGCTGGTACGACGGCGTTTATCAAGTTTCACCGTGAGGGCAAGCCGGTCGACTCTGTGGATTTTTGCAAGAAGCTGCTGGAGGCTACGGGTGTCATGTTTGTACCTGGTAGCACGTGCTTTGGCGAAGAATTCAAGGGGTATGTGAGGATTGGGTTTGTCAATCAGACGGATGTTGTCAAGGAGGGGTTGGATGCTGCGACGAAGTTTATACGCAAGAACTTTGATGACGTAGAGCTGGCTGCGTGATTGTGGGGTCCCCTGTGATACTGGAATGAAGAAATACAGCCAACACTCGTGGAATATGCATATACTCGTCTCCGTAGTAATTGGTGCTAGCACTCTGCCTTGTTTTCGTAGCTAACCGCCTCAGCCACACTAGCCATACCGTGCTAAGCCACACCCAACCAGCATCCCGACTCAGTCCTTCGGCACGCCTGACAAGGCAACCCTACTGCGTCTCCTTGCTCCAGCCTCTGAGCCACCCCCAAGCACCAACACATCATCCAGCCTACCTCATAGACCAAAAACAATAAAGTAACCCCCCCTCCCATCTCCCCTAAACTCTGCCTTCCATCTCACCCACTCACACCGTACCACCTATCTATCCCCAAACCAAACCACAAAACCCGTCATGTCCTCACCCGACTCCCCCAAAAAAGACGCCTTAACCTCCGTCCAAAGCATCACCTCCACCAACCCAGACACCACCACCACCTCCTCCGCATCCCCAACCCCATCTTCCTCTTGGCGCTCAAAACTGCACTTGCACCTACACCGCACCGCACCACCCAGCGAACCCGGAAAAGAGAAGTGGCGGGATGCCACATTGAGTGAAAAGGAGCGCTGGAAGGATTGGAACAAGGCAAAGGATAGGGAGCAGATGAGAGGGTGAGTTCTTTTTTTTTATTCTTTGGGGGGATGAATGAACTGACAGCGAGATAAATTTAGATCGACGATAGGAGCTTTTACCGAGTTTTACAAGGGAAAGGGTAAGACGGGGTATTGGCTTGATATCAGTGAATGATTCTTGTTTTTTTTTTAAAAAAAATCTCCTGAAGGAAGAGAAGGGATGGAGGATGGAGGAGGTTAAGAGGATGATACCCCATTTTGAGCATATTTGATATTTTTACATTGCGTCTTGGTTATACATTTCACACATGTACAAAAGGTCCCATAATCGTACAGTAGTAGCCATTTTTCTATTCTTCGGCGATGAGTCTATCGACAGCTGGCAAAAACAGTTAGTAGTGAGTCTTGTAAAGGGGGGTTGGTTGGACAGGAAGATTGAATTTACCTTTACCGTCTTCCATCAGATACCCCGAACAATCAATCTTCCAGTCTTCGCCTTGCACCTTGACTTTTGCAATGCCGAAGCGCAGGACTGCGAATTTAAATCGCAAGAAGAAGTTTGTCCATTTCTGGTGCACCCAGCGGGCGGATCCTTCCCAGACTCTTGCTGCAATGTTCAAGTGGCCAAGGTCATCCCACAGTTTCTGCTTTCGAAACCTTTCCGCCTCGAGCAGCTCTCGTACCATGGGCTCCGTCTTTTCGCTGATAGTCGCTTCTCCCAGTTGCGAGTAGATGACGCGCTCCTTGGACCACGGGGCTGCTCTGACCGTCATGCGTAATTGTATGGGTCCGCCTTGCAAACTAGGTATGACTTCCAGTATCCTCATGCGGTTTGTAGGCGCGGTGCAGATATAACACCCGATGGCGATAAAGGCCGCACCGACAACGACATAGGTAGGCCGCACGAAGAACGGCACCTCTCTATCTTTGATGTCGTTGTTGAACTTCATGGAGAAAGCGCCGACGCCAATCCACAGGGCGCCTGTGCCGTACACTTTGGCATAGTACCATTTGTTGCGCGGGGCCTGGTATATCAAGACGGGCTGGCGGGTCTGGGCCACTTGTCGCAGGACGGGGTCATTGCTGACGAAACTCGACTTGAGATTGCTTTTGTAGTTGTACTGGTAGCGGCGGAGGGCGGACGAGGCAAAGAAACGGGCGCTGCGCTGAGCCGATGTGGGTTGGAAGAAGGACTCTGGCGTGCCGAAGAGGGCGGCGCGGAGTGATGAGGGGAGGCGGAACGTGTTGGTGCGGAGGAAGGCATCGAAGCCCCGGGAAAAGGCAGGCATTGTAGGGAATGGGCGAGATTTTACACTATTATACCATTGAGCGCATCGTATGGAAATTGACTGCGGCGACTGCAAGTTCGTCTGTTGTCGTATGAGCGGCTTTGCAACCGTGGGATTCTGGTGTTCCGATGGTTTGTAGAAAATGTAACCCAGCAAAAACGGGCGGTCCAAGCGCGCCCGCTCGACACCTCCGAAGCTCATCCCGCGCTCAACATTTCTCATCAGCGACGTCCGACCGCCTGCCAACTCTCCACCCACACAACCGGCCAATTGACTTCCCATGGCTTCGCTCGCCGCAGCATGTAGGGTTTCGGCACGCGCTGCCTCACAGCAGTTGCGCAGCCATGGTGCTCGGAGAGGTAAGAAAGAATCCTTACACCACGGGGAATATAGAATGCTCACGGGAATGGGATACAGGCCTTCATTCGAGCCCGGCTTCACTCGCCGCACAAAACTTCAACATGCCTGCCCTTTCCCCGACAATGACCGAGGGCAATATTGCGACCTGGAAGATCAAGGAGGGCGATTCATTCTCCGCCGGCGATGTCCTGCTCGAGATCGAGACCGATAAGGCACAGATGGACGTCGAGGCTCAGGATGATGGTATTCTGGCAAAGATCACCGTATGTGTACGGGAAAGGCTGGGATAGCTAGTCGGAAATTAACAGCCAATACAGGTCGGAGATGGATCAAAGGCAGTCAAGGTTGGCACACGGATAGCCGTCACCGCGGAGCCTGGAGACGACTTGAGTTCGCTCGAGATGCCCGCCGAAGACAGCCCCGCGCCAAAGAAGGAGGCCGAGGCCCCCAAGGAACAACCCAAGCAATCTGCGCCAGTACCCAAGGAGGAGCGGACATCTGCACCACCCGCAAAGTCGGACGCTTCAAGCAAGGCCTCGAGCGCCAAGGCTACAAAGCAGACCTACCCACTATACCCCTCTGTACAGCATCTCTTGGAAGTAAACGGTCTGCCCAAGGAGGAAGCCGACAAGATCCCCGCTACTGGACCCAACGGCAGGCTACTCAAGGGAGATGTGCTAGCATACATTGGCAAGATTGAGAAGTCCTACCCATCAGAACTCGCCGGTCGCTTCTCCAAGCTTTCCCACCTTGACCTGAGCAACATCAAGCCCATGGCCAAGAAGGAGGCACCAAAGAAGCCTGCAGCCGAAGCACCCAAGGTTGTCGAGGACTTGCCCGTTGAGCTGGCCATGCCCATCTCTCTGAAAGCCGTCATGGAGTGCCAAAAGCGCGTCAAGGACTCAATAGGCGTCTTCCTCCCCCTATCCACCTTTGTCGCTCGTGCAGCCGAGCTCGCGAACGAAGATCTTCCCAAGTCCAAGACGGCCAAGCCATCAGCAGACGAGCTCTTCAACGCTGTCCTTGGTCTCGACAAGGTCTCCGCAAAGTACTCCCAGGGCAACTTCTTCCCCCAAATAACCGCACTTCCCCCCACCAATCTCTCTGCTCAGCCCCCTGCGCCAAAGAAGTCCGACATTTTGGATATTCTCGCCGGCAAGAAGCCCAGCCCGCCTAAGCGATCTACCTTTAGCGGAGCAGCAGGCGTCGCAAGCCCCCTCAACGTCTTCAGGATCAGCGTACCAAAGGGCGACGAGAAGCGCGGCCAAGTCTTCCTCGAGCGCGTCAAGGCTGTACTCGAAGTCGAGCCAGGTCGATTGGTTGTGTAAGAAGAATCACGTCTGTCCTTCTTCTTTTTTTTTCTTGCCACCACCACCGCCCACTTTATGTAGCGTCTGTATAGTAATGCATCTCCACTGGTTGGGCCAGAAGGTGTTTGTACTTGAGTATCTACTATGCCTGCCCTTTCTTTCCTCAGATAGATCATGATAACAGTATCATTATACATGTTTCAAACCCAATGACGATTCAAAAGTGATAAAGTTACTTTCCCATCCTGCCCCCCCCCTTCCTTCTTCAAGCCATGGGAGGGGGTGAGGGGGGAGGGCATACACCCCCTTGTATGCGCAGATCGCGTGGCGTTGAAAATGCCGCACTTTCTACACTACATTGCGTGGTTAAAATACCGCATGCAAGTAACTTGAAACGGATGTGTGCTTATGTTTAAGTTACTGCCTCGCCGTTCATTTTGAGAGATTTTTTTTCCTTCTCTCTCTGTTTCGTTTTTTTTGTTTCCTCGCTGGTTCATTTGCTCTTACTGTGATGGGGTACGTGAGGTGTTGCATGTGGAGTATGTGTGTGTGTGGTTTCGACTAAAACATTAAGACAAGCAGTTTTTTTTTCACACGATGAAGCACACGAATATTTCACGGATGTTTGCAGAGAGAGGTAGGTTTGGTGAGAAAATATCGATTGATTGGGTTGAACTTTCCTTAATCGCTATAACTCACCTTTTTTCTTGTTTCCTATGATTTCCCATACGTTTCTACGTTCCTCCTTTTGTTTTGCAATTTGGTACCAACCTCCACTACACCATCATGGTTGAGCATAATGGCAAAAAAAAGTTGTTGAAAACTTTCAAGTAACGGGAAACATATCGTTGATGTTTCCTGTCACCATCCCCCTTCCTCTTACTAACCTTGATCATTTCAAGACTATTTAAACCTTCTCACCACCAGCACCAGTCGAGTCTTTACTGTAGTATCGACCAAAGACACGGTCCTCAATCGCCAAGTTCTTATCAACCTTTCCGGTTCCTCTCCTGGCTACCTGGCGGCGGAAGTAAACACGCTTGCACCACTTCCACAACTCAATGCCCGCAAAGAAAATGCCTGTCTCAACAAACACGATGCCCCACTCCCAAGAGATGGGCGCATGTTTGAAAACGACCGTGTTGAGCGTTGGGATGTAGATGAGCGGGAAGAGAAGGACAAAGCCAACGATGATAGCCCAGAACAAGAACTGGTTCCTCCATACATCTATCATCCACTGGGTGAAGTAGCGCTTGCTGCCAGGCTGCATACGGAAGAAGGACCTGCGCATATCAATCATCTCCCACGCAAGGAAGAGAGCAAACCACGTCAGACAGGCGAATGTGCAAGCACGGGCACGGAACACAAGTTCGCACTGCTCAGAATACGTCTCATTGCAGCCATCGCCGAGCTCGCCGTCACCGAATCCAAACACGACGAGGACGAAACTGGCGAGACAGAGGAGCGTAATCCACAGCCCGTAAACCACCATGTCGACCAGGAATTCCATGGTGAAAATTCCCGTTTTGAGTGACTGAGGAGGCCGCTGCAAGATATCCGGAACCGCGCGTTCGAATCCCAGCCCCATATCCGGCAAGCCAGACGTAGCCATGATAATCCAGACAACCTGTACGGGAGCGAGTGGAAACACCGACAAACCAGTTCGATCTTTGAATGCCAGACCTACAAGAAGCGTACCGGCTTGCGCCACATTCTCTGCTAGGACATGCAGCACGAACTTCTGGATATTGTCAAAGATACGGCGACCTTCTTCGATGGCAGCGAGGATAGAGGCAAAGTTATCATCGGTAAGAACGATATCGGATGCTTCCTTTGCAACATCTGAGCCTGCTTGACCCATAGCAATCCCCACGTCAGCGCGCTTGAGCGAAGGAGAATCATTGACGCCATCGCCAGTCATTGCGCAGAAGCGGCCGCGGCGGTGCAGAGCCTCAATCATACGGACTTTGGTGCTGGGAGCACACCGGGCGACGACGAGCGGCAACACAGACAACTTGTCGACCTCATCATCGCTCAATTTGTCGAACTCTGCGGCAGTCATGACAAGTGTACTCGCAATATCGTTTCTGATTCTCCTGTATCGATCGGCAGATGGCAGGATACCGACTTCGATTGCGATAGCCTTTGCGGTTTCCGGGTGATCACCAGTCAACATATGGACCTCGATACCTGCCTCGTGGCACTGGCGTACAGCGACTGCAGATTCCGGACGAGGGGGGTCGTAAAGACCGATGAGGCCGCGGAAAACAAGTTCAGATTCAACAGTGGAACGCTTGACTTCTGCGCCTTTTGCTACCTCGTGAAGATACCGCTTGCTAGCGAGGGCGAGTACGCGCAGACCGAGACTGGCAAGAGCCTCCATATGAGAGAGAATCTCTTGGCGGAACTCTTCAGTAACAGGCTGGGAGTCTTCCTTGCCATCGGCCAGGTAGGTAGTGCAGCTCTGGATGACGCGTTCGACGGCGCCCTTGGTGAAGGAGTAGTTGCCGCTGGAATGCTTCATGATGACCGACATGCGCTTTACATCCGAGTCGAAAGGAAGCTCGACCAGATCTTCCCACTGAGGAGAGTCGCCCTTGGTTAGGCCGAGACGATTCATGCCAAAACGAGAGGCGAAGACCTGAATGGCGATTTCGGTTGGATCGCCATGAGCCTCCCAGGTTCCATCATTTTGTTGCTTCACAGCAGCCAAGTTGGCCAGCGACGCTACCTTGAGGAACTCGCCGAACCCAGAATGGTTGTGGCTTTCGAGCTTGTCGACAGATACAAGTTCACCGCATTCATCACCGCCAGCCTTGAGATTCATCTTGGCAGGGGACGCTCCACCGAAACGAACATTGCCGGCAGTAGGGTCTTGAGGGGCGGTCGAGTCTTCGATAGTGTACGTTCCAACGCCGGGGATCCACGCACCACGAGCAATCATCTTACCTTGAGTCAGCGTTCCAGTCTTGTCAGAGCAAATGTCTGTAACGCCGCCGAGCGCTTCGAGTGACTTGAGGTTTCGGACAATGACGTGGCGCTGGACCATGGACTTTGTGCCAGCAGCCATGGTGATGGTAAGTACCACCACCAGACTGGCTGGAATCATGGATAACCCGGTTGCTACGGCATAGATGATGACTTCTTGACGATTGCTAAACTTGTTGGCTGCTAGGACAATGATGGCGCAAATGACGGCGATGAAGAAGAGCAAGACAGCGAGCTTGGATAGCTTCTTCTGGAGAGGAGTTCCAACATTGAGCCCCAGGAAACGTCCAATAGCGTCGGTTGTGGTGAGCGTGTATGCCTCAAGATAGCGATGGGGCTTTGCTTTTCCATTCTCCTTGCGCTTGACGGGTCGAACCTTGGACTGCGTTTCGCGGAGCTGAGCAGCGATGGCACCAATCTCTGTATATGCGCCAGTGGCGAAGACGATGCCCTTGGAGCGGCCCTTTGTAACGCTAGATGAGCTATAGGCAACATTGAGACGGTCACCAGGTCCAGTGTTCTCGTCGAAGATAGCGTCTTCTTGCTTGCGTACAGGGAGGGACTCTCCAGTCAACAATGCCTCATCGGTTTCGAAATTGACCGCATCAAAGACTCTCATGTCGGCTGGAATCGTATCACCAACCTTGACTTCAATGATATCGCCAGGAACGACTTCAGCCGAGGGGACCGTAATCTGCTGGCCGTTACGAATGAGACGTGCAGTGGGCGAGCTGAGAGAGCGAAGCGAGTCCATTGTCTTTTCGGCAGACCACTCTTGGAAGAAGCCAACGACGATGTTGAGTCCGATGACGAAGGCTACGACACCACCTTCGATCCACGACTTGATACCGAAACTAACAGCCATGGCCATTATCAGGACCAGAGTCATGGCGTTGGCGACTTGGGCGACGAGGATTTTGATGGGAGAAACGCTCTCGGCTTCTCCCAGTTCGTTCGTTCCGTACTCATCGACACGGCGTTTGGCTTCGTTGTCATCCAGACCAGACCATTCCTCCGTCTTGAGCTCGTTGACGACTTCTTGGATAGTGAGACTATGTGCTGGTTTGGACATGGGCTTGTTCGCCTGGCCACTGACATGCCCCTCGAGAGGGGCAGCTTTCTTCGCCATGTTGCAAGTCCGAACGATTGAGTATTGTTTTTTTGTGCTTCTTTTTTTTTTGAAGATAAGGTTGAACAGTTAATGAAAAAGGGTAATTGCTTTGATGCGGGTACCGAGACCAGTTAGATTTGGAGTATGGTCAGTATCAACGGTCTAATTTTCTGCGAATTCTTGCCCCGCGGACTATGGCCGCGTGGACAAACTTGGTAGATGGAGTGTTGACTGTGGTATACATAGAGAACTTCAGCACGGGGCGGGGGTGCAGACTCCTCCTAGATCAATGCCGTGATTGGCAAGTTGGGGTAGTAGAAAATGAGTTGGGGTAGTAAGAGAGCTTGGGAAAGAGTTGGTGTGTTGGAGAAGAGCTGAGGCAGACTTTGAGAAAGCAGGAAGTTGGAGAGAAAATTCAGAGAGCGAGGAAAAGAAAAAAGGCAAGAAGGGTACAGGTGGCTGCAACATATATGCGGAGCAGTGGGGGGATCGGTGTACGACGTCGTGCCAAGCATGCTCGGTTCACGCCAAGGTCGATTCCAATTCAGAGAGCGGCGGATGCCAAGGCGAAAACTTCTCTTGATGCTTAGCTGTACGGGTAGCCATTGGGTGCCTGTCGCAATGCCATGTCCACGATTGTAAAATGGGTACACGACATTTTGGCACTTGGCCAGCTGGCCCACCTGCCTCTTCGATATCTCCGGTGTAGACCTGTCCGGCTTGACTGTGGTTCAGCGAAAAATGAGCGCTTCGCATGATTAAGTTTCTGTGTAGACGTCAAAAAGCCGTTTGGGAATGGATGTAGGCAGTCTGGGTTGAGACTCAGTGGCGGTTTTTCACGGGCGAAGAATGTGGTTACAGACAAGTCTGAGGAGCGTAGTCGGTAGTGCTAACCCAAGGAAAGAAAGAGCCAAGGATGTTGCACCGAAGCTGGTTCATGACATAGCTAGTCCCCGTTCTTCGCCTTACGTACCAGCTGCCCTCAACCGAGCCGTTACAGCTATTCTCCTTGGCATTACTGTGTTCGCTTAGCTGAAATCAATCGAGTCCGCAATAAGATTGAATAGGACATCGCTATCAATGTTAGAGTTACACGCCCTACCGCTAATACCTGGGCAATCTGACTCAACTCATAACTAGGCCTGTCTGCGTAAGGCTTGTAACCAAGTTCAAGAACCACACGTTCGGTAACGGTACCCGAGGCTTAGTTCCAAAGCCCAATTAGGTAATTGGGACGAGATGCATCGAAGTCAGCAATCTCGCCTCGGCGCACAGATACAACATGATATGAGTTCAGAATGACTGTGCATTGTGGTGATCGGATGGGAATACATTGGTACATTTCGTACGAGTGATTAGGTAGTTGTATACGTGATGAGATGAAAGACATGTATCTCGACACATAAAGTATACGTAGTGGGTCTATCATACTATCATCATTCTTGAATCATAATCACAATCCTCAAATCCACAAAATCGTTGTTGATTATCAATTGCACGTGATCAGATCAAAGTGGACCAAAATAGATGATACTCCTGGTGTGTTACTTAGTGTACTAAATCTTCTTCTTTTCCTGAAAGAATGACCCAACATTTTTCATAGTACAACATAGTAATGCATCAAGAACTAAGGATCAGACCCGATAATCTAGACGGAGATGAGCAAAAAGAATTGCAAGAACAAACGACGGCGGGGATTCGTCAGTGATCACCCACCTGACTACTCGTCCACCGGTCAAACATTTATCGTGCGGGAAGCAGACGGGACCCAGATTGATTTTTTTGCCTATGGCCGCATGTGCCATGTCTTCTTGATTTCTCTCTACATGTGTATGGCGCATCCGTGTGAGCGAACATAAGCTGCGTATCAATTTCAAGCCAACTCCATCTTCACCACGGGAGATATCTCTACATCTTGAGCTATAGGAAACATTTAGTTGCCATATCAAAAAAATCAGATAGAATAATATTGATTTCATTGACAAGTGCATTAATCTACGTAGCGAGTGGCCTACCCCGCAAGCGTTGTCGTGCATCGACGCGCCTGTGATCGCCAACCTCCGAGCTCACCGCGATCAGTCTTCTCATCGCCAGACGTATGACTATGCTTCTCAAATATCTTCAGGTCCAGCAAGGCCCAATGCCTGCCTGCGCGTCGGCGCATCAGCCTTGAAGAATGGCTTCTCAGCCAATGATGTCACCCTAGTTCCGTGCCTCGGCTCATTTCCTTCATAATCCCAACTGGCGTTGTGGATAGTGATTCTGTTGTCCCAGAGCGCCGACGTTCCTGGGGTCCATCGGAAGCGGACCTGGATATCGACACTCTTCTCGTACACGTCAAAGAGATAGTTGAGGATTGCATCGCTCTCGCCCTTGTCCAATCCGACAATGCGTACGGTGAAGGCGCGGTTGACCCAAAGTGCCTTCCATCCCGTCGCGGGATGCACGCGGACCAGCGGGTGAACTCGCTCAACATGCTTTGGACCGGCGGTGGGGTTATCACGCTCAAGATATGGGTGTGCGCTACGGTACACTGCCTCTCGGCCGTCGATAATCTTCCTGAACTCGGGGGAAAGTTTCTCATAAGCAGCATAGCCTGAAGCCCAGAGAGTGTCACCTCCAATCTTTGGGATGGTGTCGTTGTGCAGATGAGTTACACTAAACTGGTCAGTGAGGGGATCATTGAACTCAGAGGATCATCACATACCCGGCGGGTTGGCGTTCGTGCACCAAGTCAGTGTGCCACTGGGACGCTCCGCCAGTCTTCCTGAAGCTGGCAGGTATCTCCGTCGCCTGGAGATCGGGCCAAAGAACAGTTATTCCTGGTACGCCTGGTACATGAGGAACTTGCGGCTTCACCGTCTGTCAGCATATTCAACTACAGGATGGGGGGATGACATACATGGACTTCGATTTCACCAAAGTATTCTCCAAGCTTCTTTTGCTGTTGAGGCGAGAGATCTTGGTCGCGGAAGAATACAACGCTCCTCTCAGCAATCAAAAGACCAAGCTCGTCTTTCTGTTGGTCTGTAAGATCCTTCAATTGAAGTCCAACAATCTCAGTTCCGATGTGTGCTGTCAAATGAATGACTTCTTTTGCAGCACTGAGCAGTGCCTTCTTCTCTGGGTCAGCTCGGGAACCTGGGTCGATGTGTTCCCGATCATAGTCCCTGATCTTGTACACATCGTCGAGGTAAAGTGGCTTCGCCGGCCTGTATGGATAGCCATTGGACAAATCGATACCTGCCTTCTCAAGCCTCTTTCTGGCTGGCTCGGGCAGTTTCAACGTATCCTTTCTTGGTTGGACAGTGTCCTTCTCTTTAATGTGTTCAGCAACGGGGATTGCGATTGGTGCCATGTTGACGATTGCTGCGATGAGGCTGATGATGGCGAATAGTTCACGATACCATCACTTCTTATATCCGACCCGATTGCTTCCCCACACATTGTCTCCTCACAGCTTAGAAATACGTTTCCTGTATCTGTTGGAGCTAGTCGGTTACATCGCGTGGTGGTTGCATGCTGGCGATGCCCATGAGTAGTTGCGGGGTCAATCACATCATTCCGGGGATTATGACGAATATCCAGTCAACATCTCCAACCTTATCGACTGGATGCCGCACCTGGTTCCTCAGACAAAAATTGTGGGCTCTTGCATTTGTTTCTAGTTTGGTATGCAGGTGCCTCCTGTATGTTGTTCTCGCAATAGTGGGTGTTCATGATGCCATACATGTCCACCACTACGCCTCTCGAACCTTCACGCCTCTGTCATTGCGTGATATATGCTGATAAATACAGTCTTGCACAATATGGACAAAAAACGCAGGGAACTGCAATAAGGTTCGGCAGTGGTTCGTCTCGGGGCTGTTCTGACCGGGGCCAATTGAGGGAATGCGCTCAACCATCGCGGAAAGCCCCAACGACGTCCTTATCTCACCTTAGCAAAATCTCCACCATGGCTCTCCCTTCGAAACGTGTCGCTGTGATCGGTGCAGGTATCAGTGGTGTCGTTGCTGCGGCCCACCTCAAGAAAGAAGACATCGATGTCACCGTCTTTGAGCGAAGTAGTGCTGCAGGAGGCATATGGTAGCTTTCCCAATCATACAAAAATATACTATATACTCACCTCATAGAAGGCTGTACGACGAGCGAAAGCCTCTTGAGCCATTGTATTCAGGAGTGCCAATTTCGAAGACTGGCAGTACATACGCAAGTGAAGAGTCAGAAGATGTGCAAAGGCGGATCCATGCACCACCAGGGCAAGTTCAGATATTTGAAGAGTATGTGTACTCCAAGACTGACTGGAATTAGTCCATGCTATATCGGCTTGAAAAACAATGTAAGCACCCGCTTACTAGAGACCACATTGAACAAGTTTCCGCCTGGAACTGAGGACTATGTGACGCACAATGTTTTAGCAGATTATATACAGGACACTGCCATTGTGACAGGAGTACACGAAGCTACACAGTATGATACGAATGTAAAAAATGTCTGGAAAGATGGCGATTCATGGTCAGTTGAGACGACGACTCTGCAGACAGATAGTACAGGTGTGGAAACGTGGAACACTTCTACTCAGGTTAGTGCTTCCATGACCATACAAACCATGATTCTGACATGCGTACAGAAATTCGACGCTGTAGTCGTTGCTTCAGGACATTACCATGCACCAAGAGTTCCAGATACCCCTGGTTTGGCCGACTGGAAGAAGAGATGGCCAGATAGGGTAGAACATTCGAAGCGCTATAGAAAGCCTGAAAATGCTGAAAACAAGGTATAAATTGAATATGCTAGAGAAAGGATCCTTAGAAGATACTCAGATTAACACTTTAACAGAATTATCTGCTTGTTGGTGGAAGCGTCTCAGCAACGGATATTGCGCGCGAGCTCAGCCCATACGCCAACAAGATTATCCAAAGCCAAAGGAACGGCAAATTCGATCTTCCTCCAGCAATGCTTCCCGAAAATGCCTACCGGGTCGACGAGGTAGTGTCGTACGATGCGCCCAACGCGGATGAATCGAAGCCCTTAGGCCCATCAGAAGCCATACCAGGCACAGTGACTCTCAAATCAGGAGAGAAAATCTGTGACATTCACCATGTTATACTCTGCACAGGATACCACCTTACATTGCCGTTTCTGCCGCAACTTCATTCGGACGACACGCCGGTCGACAAGGCAGACGATACACTGTTGGTGACGGACGGAACACAATTCCACAATTTACACAAAGACATTTTCTACATCAATGATCCTACGCTTGTGTTCGTTGGTGTTCCTTTCTTCACTGCCACCTTCTCCCTGTTCGAGTTCCAAGCCATGGCCGTTGCCAAGGTGCTCTCTGGTCAGGCGAAGCTTCCAAGCCAAGAAGCCATGCGGTCCGAGTACAACGAGAGAATAAAGACAAAAGGCTACGGCAAAGACTTTCACAGTCTACGGGATCAAGAGGCAGAATACGTCAATGACCTTTTAGCCTGGGTCAATGCTGATTTGGAGAAGACGGGCAAAACCAAGCTCAATGGGCACAGCAGTCAATGGCTCAGTCTAAAAGCAGAAATCGTGGCAAGGATGAAGGCATTTTTCACCACGCCGGTCTTGGAAAAGAGGCTTGAAGTAACATGTCTGTAGCAGACTTAGAATGGATTGTATCACGTGACTCTCAATATACAATACACAACATCCCATTCAAACCCAACTGACTCGTCAAAAAGCCACAACAGACATTCAGACCCTCCTTCAACTGCCGTTACATCCATCTGAACATGCACTATTCTGTTGAGCCAATACAGTAAAATCCACGCCCTGTACGAGATGCCTTATCTTTCTCCTCAGGCACGCCATCCGGCTACTCAATGACGCCAACATGTGACCACCAACCCACATCCTCCTCATGCAACCACGGAGTTTCGATCCCACGAAAAATCCACACACGAAAAATCGTAGCACAATTCCGGATATCTTAACCCGAGGCCCAAAGGTGTTGCAACCTGAAGAATGTAACTGGGGGGAAGTGATTACTAGCGCTTTCCAGCCCCAGAAACTATTTCCCACGCGGCCATCGAAACCCCCTGTCAATGTCGACATTTCGTCCCCAGTATGTCGCCTTTTTTGCCTCACGGTCTCGCATCGAAGCGACATGCAACCCACCCCCAGTTTCGCCAGCGGGCCGCGCCTGCCACGAATTCTAGGCGGTAACTGAAGAAAAAAAAGCCGATGTTCTTGCGGAGGCTTGGTTACGCCCAAGCCTAGACCATTGGGAGGTAGCTTGATAAAAGCAGAGCTGGTTGCTTTTACTTTCCCAGTGATACGAGGCTACTTTTTCTTTTCTTTGAGCACGCTGAATATTCTCTTCTGATTGCTGCTGCGACTATGGGAGTCCCCCAAGATGTCTCGGCCACTTTGGTGCCTGCTTCGCCTACCGTCCGGTCTGACGAGGAAGTAACGGCCAAGCCGCATAAATGGTATTATTACCTATGGGATACACTCGACAAGCCAAAGGAGGAACGATGGTTTATGTTTAAGCTTGATGCTGCGTTGTTGACTTTTGCGTCGTTGGGTATGTTTACTTGCTTCTTGTATCTCTGTTTGAGAAAAAGAACGTCGGAACTGACTTTGTTTTGGATAGGTTATTTCATCAAGTATCTTGATCAGATGAATATCAACAGTGCTTTTGTGTCTGGAATGTAGGTTGCGGACTTTGCTTTGATTAGAGGTCTTCCTTTGCTGATGGTTATGCTAGGAAAGAGGATCTTGGGTTATATGGCAATCAACTTAATTACATGCAGACTTGCTGGACGGTGGGATACGTTATTGGGGAGATACCGAGTAACATCATCTTGACCCGTGTTCGACCGTCGATTTGGATTCCCGCTATGGAGGTACGTTGGAACTATGCCCTGTGCAAGTCTCATATACTAACAGTGACAGCTCACATGGGCAGTCCTGACGTTCTGTCTCTGTCGCGCCAAGAACGCAGAAACAATCTACGCTTTACGATTTCTCATCGGTAAGATCTAAATCACCATGACAGAAAAAACCATTCCTAGCTGACTTTACCCCAGGTCTCGCCGAATCTACTTTCTATCCTGGCATGCAATACATAATCGGGTCATGGTACCGCAAAGAAGAACTCGCCAAGCGCTCCTGCATCTTCCACACCAGTGGCGCAATCGCAACCATGTTCTCAGGCTACCTCATGTCCGGCGTCTACAGACTGGACGGCAAAGGCGGCTTCAGAGGCTGGCAATGGCTCTTCATCGTCGACGGCATCATCTCCATCCCCATTGCCCTCATGGGCTTCTTCTTTCTGCCCGACCTCCCCGAAATCTCCAAACCCTTTTACCTGACAAAAGAGGAAGTCAAGTTCGCACAGGAGCGCATGCAGCGCGAGGGCCGCCAAAAACGACAGCCCTATACTCGAGCTAAGATCTGGAAGATCTTTACGTCCTGGCATATTTACGCCCTCGTGTTCCTTTACATCTTTTTCAACAACGGTAACTCGGGCGCGCAGCCTGTGTTCCAGCAGTTTCTCAAGTCGAGTAAGCATCCAAAGTATACCATTACTCAGATCAACACGGTATGTTCTTTCACCCTCCTCCCCTATCATCTCTCCATTCTTGATATAAAATAACGACTTGAAATGCTAATTCCAAACACCAACAGTACCCAACAGTCACCAACGCCGTCCAAGTCGTAACCACCCTCCTCTACGCCTGGACCAGCGACAGCATCCTCAAAGGCTCGCGCTGGCAACCCATAGTCTTCGGCGGCTGCGTAAACATAATGTGCTACGTAAGCCTCGCCATCTGGGACATACCCATCAAATGGAAGTGGGCCTGCTACATCCTAACGGGCTTCGGCGGCGGCATCTCCGGCCTCTGCTACGCCTGGGCACACGAAATATGCACGCATGACAACGAGGAGCGCGCCATTGTGGTGGCTTCTATGAACGAAATGGCATACGTGGTTCAGGCGTGGTTGCCACTCGTCGTGTGGAAGCAGGTCGAGCAGCCGAGGTACCACAAGGGCTTTATTACGGCCGCGTGCTTGAGTTTTATGATGATTGTTACGGCGTTGACGACGCGCGCGCTGCATTTGAGGGAGTTGGGGCAGAGGAGCGAGGCGCGGGAGGAGGGGCAGTATGTTTCTCAGAGTAGTAGTAGTGCTGGAGGCGAGGAAGCTGGATCGGATGTCGATGCGGATCTTGGCTTTAGAAAAGGGACTTGAATGGTGTTTTTTTTCGGTTTGGAAACATGGTACTGAGCGATGTGTATAGTTGGCGGGTGGATGGTGAAAAAAATAGCGATGCTTCTGTTTGATGAGCGTAAAGATAAGTTGATAGAGTAAATTGATAGATATCATGGCAATATGGGCGGTTGGTTTATTCCTCACTGTTCTTGAGCCGAAAGGAATCTGTTCGGATAATCACGTGACCTTGTTCTTCACCCAAGGCCCTGGGACAGCTGTAGTCGGCAATATGGGCTTCTGTGTCGATTACACATCAAGTGAGTATCAACGAGAAAAGTCCGTACGCACAGGCGTGGTATCCAGTCCTCCTAGCTCCAGGGGCAAGCGGCTTGCACAATCATAGTACCAATGGCCAAAGCGCAGAAATTGTACAGCACACAATCGTGATCGTGGCGTTGGAACCAATACATGGCAACAAGACATGCTCGTCTAAATTGGAATAGATTCAATAGCGCCAAAAAAGTGTTGTCCACAACAAAGGATAGCGCGTCTTGTTCGGGTCTAATCTAAAATTTTGGGATGGGGTTCATCCACGTGGTATCCGGACTTTGGTTCGGCTGTGCATGATAGGCATGGTCCTAGGGCAAAGGGGAGGACTAGTAGCTATGCAGGTGAAGCTCCTAATCTCGCATGGCCCCGACTAGCGCCTCAGACTCCTCTTCGTCCTCGACCTTTTCCTCAGAGGCATGCCGATACAGGATGTAATGTTGCACCATGAAGATGATGTCAAAGACGATGGTAATGTTACCAAGGCCAAACTTGACTGGATTGCCAGTGACACCGCTCCAGTCGTTTTCCAGCGCAGAGTCGATGCACAGCTGTGCAAGTGACAGCCAGCCACCGGCAAAGTCCAGTAGCATGGGATAGATGCTCCAGCCAACGGTGGACTTGCGTTTGTAGTTGACCCATGCTTGTGGTATATATTTGAGAAAAACAGTAAGGAGTTTGACGTAGCCAAGAGTGTAGATCTAGATAGGGTGTCGTTAGTAGTGGGCAATCACAATGCAATAAAGACAAGCTTACGACATCGATCCACGCCCATCCTTCAGCGTTATAGCCTCCGTTCTGCCCTTTGAAGCGGACTAGCAGTACAACTGCAAATATGGCAGCGACGCATGCCCACCAGACGGTAAACACAACGCGGCTCACTTTCTGCCTCTTGCCCACTTCAAACCCCCATATGGGCTCGAAAAACTGGCTGTATATGATGAAACACATGACTGCGCCGTGGGCGGCAAACAGAAAATCATTGAATCGCACCGTTGTAACAGGGGCTTCGGGGTGCCGTTGGGCATATTGTGCTTTGATGGTGGGGGAGTAGAGGAACGAGGCGGTGGAGATGGTGTAGCAGGTGAAGCCGAGGACGTTCAAGGTAGGAAAATCGATTGCAAGGCCAAGTGTGGATTTGCGGATGTAGTTGGATATGGGTTGAGGGTAGAAGGACAAGGACCTGAATAGGAGAGTCAGCATGCGAGGTAAGAAGGACCCAGAGCCAGAGAAAGGAACACACCAAGCAAGAAAGTAGGCCCAGCCCAGGACACGCGATATGGCTCGCGCAAAAGCCTCGAGCTCGGGGTTCATGGTTATGATGGCAGCCAGAGTACCTCGCGATTGCGACAGGAAGATAAGCGATGACGAGAGCGAGTGGACGACATAAGCGGCGCTGCCAGTGTCTAGTGTGGCGCCAACATACGACAGAAACGTGCAGAATGGCAGAAGAGAAGAAAAAGCACGAGGGGTTTCAGCGACAGTCGCAAAATAACGTCATTGTTAAGCGGGCGCACCTGATGCTGCGGCGTGTACAGGCCATGTGCGATTGCGATAGCGACGCGGTGGGTGGGTGACCGGGATTGGCCCATGTTCCGAGCGGGTGGGCTATGCATGTGTGTGGATGAACCCGCCGCTGTCTTGCATGCAACGGCTCGCTACTAAATACAGTGACATATGCATACTGACTCTGTTGCACCAATAACCGTCTAGTTTTAATTTCAACTTCACCTCGTATTATTCTAATAAGAAATCGTTTTTCAACGCCACTGTGGTCTACCATGTTCCGAGGCTAAGGCGCAGTCTCACCGGCTTTCAAGGTACAGCTTGATTCCCTCTCCCTGACCTACGAATGAGGCTTGTAAGGCCTCTCCCATGGTGGTTTTGACAACATAAGCCAGAGGCCCACCAAAAACTTCTCTACTCTCATACAGCACGGTTCCATTGCCATAATCAGTAATAGCCTGCCACCTTTCAGCATTCAGCATGACCGAAGGTGGCCAGTACGCCCAGGCTAGCCTTCCCAGGTCGCGTTGTACAGCTGTAACGATCTCTTGTGATGTTTGCGTGTGTAGAGGGTTGTCGGGAGTGTCCTTGTTTACGGGCAGTGGAAGCGAGGGGATCTGAACGCGGAAAAAGAGATTCTTGCCCTCGACAGGCCGTTGTTCAGGCAGTGTGATGTTAAGTGGTGAGGTGACGACTGCATAGCGGACGAATGGATTCCAGGCGGCGTAGTTGGGGAAGTCGGTGAGCAGGTCCCAGACGGCATCGAAGTTAGTGTTGTGGATTTCTATGCGGGTGCCTGCCTCGAAGACGCCTGGTTTGACATCTGGAAGATTGGTGTACTCTGAAAAGGCAGGGCTTGCATAGAGGAAGGAGCAGTAAAGGGCGCTGACGAGAGTGGACTTGAACATGACGAGAGAACAGTTTGGCTTTTTTTTGTCTACCAGAAGACGGGATCAGACGGAATCAAGTACTTTTCAACGTCTTTACGAGGGTGGGGCGCTCGATGGCGGCTGCAGACAGGGTCGGTTACATTGGCGAGATTGCTCGGTTACAGTTCTGAGATTGCTCGCTTGCGTATATAAGCACGTAGTGGCCGGCTCTATACTGCATCAGGAGCATTGGTCCGTCTACATTGCACTGGCATGTCGCTTGCGTGTCAAGAAGAAAGAAAACAGATGTGCATAGGCGAGAGTCGATGACATGAAACGCACTGCAAAGAATACGATTGGAGAGGCAGGAGATGAAGAGTGGAAGAAGAAGTGTAGTGTAGACTAGGCTGGGGGTCGGTCAACCCGAGGGATTGTTATCGATAAGCCTGCAGACAGACTGTTCAGCCACAGATTGTATAGCCACAACTGACGCAGCCACACATTGATGAGCCACGATAGCCCAGCCACACGTGACTTAGCCACGGATAGTTAGTAGGATGGCTACGGATAACCTCGGGCTAAGAGGAGCTTATTGATAAGGAGACGTCTATGCGCAATACAAGGCCACTAGCGTGTAGATGGACACGCCAACAGCATAGTCACAAGAACAAGGCCAACACTTGTATCATGACGGATTCTTGAGACGCGATCGAGACAGGGATGCATACATGTTCCGTAGTAGTAGTTCCAGTAGTATGCGCTGAAGACACGTGACTGCAGCTGACAATGCCATATGCATTTACAGTACGTACTGTACTGTACTCTACACATCATCGTCATGTGGTGCTGAGGCATCAGCCGGCGTCGGAGTGAGCAGTGCAGGTCACGAGCAAGAGGCCAAACAAGGCAATACATAGCATACACAGTCCTACACACGTATTACCATGCAGGACGAGTGGATGCAGCCAAGCCAAGGGTCGAGGGAGCGAATAGAAGGGTGCGGGTGCGGCATGCACATGCACCACCCTGCAGAAGCTCTCGACTGCCCCTCGGTACCTTGGCCTTGACCGACCGCGACAGCGTAGTAGCCGCCGCCGCAAGTATGACTACTGACGACGGCTTGCATATACAACGCCTCAACAACTGCGGGTTGGGAACAAAGGTCGCCGTCGGCTATCGCCCGCCGTCAACAGTCTTGCAAACGCCTGTTGTCCTGTTGAGCTATTTGAGGTGCGCCCCCAGCCTGCGTGCCGTGTGAAGGAGCACCCCCGCCGTCTGGCGATAGTAGCTGCTGATAGATAGATAGCATTCCACATACATCCACCTCAACGCCAGCACAGCCCGAGTCAGCATCCAGGGCTCCTGTGCCGCCATAACACCGCTGCACCGCTGTACGCCTGTCTTGCTGTGCACGCACGCGACTTGCACCCGCACGAGTCGCCAGTCACGGCTGCACATGACGCAACCGCCTCCGTTTAGCCTTCATCCCCACGCCCTGGCCTGCCGCCTGCACCCGTTGCTTCCCTCGACCACCTCTCCTCCACCAAACACGACACACACACTCGCCCACCCTCTACCACCGAGCTAGCGCTCCCCATACACTCTTCCACACGCCTCTCTAGCAGGTTGAATGAGCTCATCGCCCGACACCGTTGCCGACCAGACGCATACGAAGCCTGTTTCAAACCTCACCTACCTGCACAAGCACCAGCCCAAGCCCAGCAAGCAGCACGACAGCCCTCACGCGCGTGGTCGCAACTCCTCGAGACATGAGCTGGGAAGAAGAAATAGGCAGGGTGAACGGGTTACGCGCATCTATCCCAGACAAGTGTACGTGACTTCCCTTGTTGATCCGCCCCTGTGTCAGTGACTCACCACCTCCCCAGAACAACCTCTCCCTCGTCTGCAAAGCGCCTGTCCTCCACCTCTCCACCAACAAACTACAATGCCACCGCTTCCCCCTTGCTGTCGGCCATCGGTGCCACGCGAAACACTGCCGCCCAGTACACTACCGAGTGGGCCAAGTCGGTACCCTTCTTCCCACACCAAGGCTCCCCAGGTAATGGCGCCATAGCTATTGCAAGCTCTCCACCCACCTTCCACAACTCGCCCAGTGGAAGAGAAGGCCTATACCAACACCAAGCCATGTCCAACTCGCCGCCTGGACCACGGCCCCTAAGCCATCCTAACCAATACACAACCTTTGGTGGAAGGATGCAACACTCGCCGGGCAGCGACCGTAGGGCCTCCATCTACTCGCAAAGCGGTCGCACCCCTTCGCACCAGTTTGTTCCCAACCCCCCGCTGCCTCACCAGCCACAAGCCCACTACTACGGCCTGCCCAACCTTGACTTCCTAAGCGCCCCGAGTAGCGGCCTCCAGCCTGGCCAAGGCGGCTGCTTCTGTGGCTTCGACACACTGTCCACGGCCGGGGACGAAGCAGCTCGCTCTGCTGAGAATGTCCTGCTCGTCGGATGTCAAGGCGGTCTCGATGTCTTTCGCGTCGAAAAGAGCAAGATGGACATTGTAGGTCGCCTGGAAGGCCTGCGGGGCGCCGTAATAGGCGCAAAGATTCTGCCCTGGTCATCGCGGAGAGATCCGCTGGCTGCCTCCCGCCCACTTGTTGCACTGATTCTGCACGGTCCAGTCATCAAGGACAGCCAGAATAGCAGTGCAAGTGGCTCCTCTTCGGTCGCCGATGACTCGGCTTCCGATTCGCCCAGCAGGCCATCTTCACGACACGGAAACCATGAAAATGGACAGATCAGCGGTTATCAGACTACCGTTGAGGTTTATTCCCTCAAGGAGAGACGGAGGTTGGCTGTCCTATACAGAACGCCAATGACCCCCCTTACCAGTCCAATCGACAGCCCCATGTTCCAGCCACCACCGCCTGTAGGCGACCTGGTCGTGGACGCAAAGGGAAAGTTTGTCGTGGTTGCTTCTGGCGCAAGTGGCGAGGTGTTCATCTTCGCTCCTTACACAGAAGGTCACTTCGAGTATGCCGAGCGTTTCCGCTGCATCGGCAAGCTGTGGACCTCTGTCCAGAATCGTGAACGAGCTGTGCATTCAAATGGCTCCAGTGCCGCCGATGGAAGCCACGACGAAACTCCACCGGATAAGTATGGCTTACCGGTCTTCTCGCTCTCCGATCGCTGGCTTGCCCTCTCTCCACCGGCATCAAGCTC